ACACAGATAGATAGATAGATAGATAGATAGATAGAGAGAGAGAGAGAGAGAGAGAGAGAGAGAGAGAGAGAGAGAGAGAGAGAGAGAGAGAGAGACGCAGAGAGAAGCAGAGGACAGCAGTATCACCTGGAGCTAAGGGAATGCGAACAAGAACATTCACTGGCCGTAGGAATGGTAAAATATGGGACCATGGGTGAGAGTTTTATTTCAGATGATTTTCCTATTACCAGCAAACCTACAGAAAAAAAGTTAATTAAGGATGGAAAAAGCAAATTTAAAGGAATTTTATCCCATCATAGATTGTGTTGGATTGTTGATGTTTCCCAAGCTTAGGACAAATTCTTTTCAGAATGAACTGTGTCAGTTTGTCACAAGGGAAAATATAGGAATGCAATGAGCCTCCCAGCTCGTCTCCAATGAGTGCACACACTCATCCATGCACAAAATTAATGAGATCACACAAAATCCACATGCTGGAAAATTCAAAATTCCAACAAATTATCACATGTCATTCAGCAATTAAGAGTTCCAGTCACAAATGCTCGTTGGCGCAATGCCAAGTAACCAGTATCCAGCATCATCATCTCACAGGTATGTGACCACTCGTCTTGACTTCTCTCTGCCCATGTCCTCACTGTGTCTTCTCTCCCTTCCTGCATGCACTCACCCTTTCTACTACTCAAGGACCAGCTCTGAATACACCCATTGCTGACTCTACTAACCCCTCTGAGTTCTCCTACTAACTACTAGCACTGGCGCAGCTGTGGCTGCCTTCCCTCTTCCAGCGCTGAGGCAGCTATGGCTGCTCTCTCTCCCTTACACAGCGCAGCTCCCTGGCTCAGCACTCTTTTCTCCTCACAATCATAGCGCACATTGCAAGTGTACCAGCACTTCCACCCTTCATGTGAATGAGCAAATGCGAATGAGCAATCTGTCCAATGAGGAGGCTGGCCAGTCCTTCTATTTCCTTGGACTGAGCTTCAACTTCTCCAAGAGTGGCTTGACTGAGCCTCTGCTTCTTGTGGCTTGACTTGGTACAGTGGTACCACCTGCCAAAGGCCTGTTTGCTTCAGAATGTCAGGGCCTGGAACCTTTCCGGAATTTTCATTGGTGTGCTGCTGCTTGGGCCTGTGAGACACGACTTGTCACTTGTGGAACATGACTTTTCACGGTGGGTTGTGACGCCTGCCTCTGGGACTCTGGGATACGAGTTTTGCCTGGGGAAGTGCCCTTTGCCCGTTGGATGTGTCTTTTTCAATATGACTTTTCATTATGAGACGTGACTTTTGCTTAAAGAACGCAACCTTTGCCGCTGGGATGTGACTGTTCACCAGGTGACTGTTGGACTTGACCCCTAAGGTAGAGAGAGAGAGAGAGAGAGAGGAGAAAAACGGA